GTTTTAACTTTTTTCGGGTAACTGTTTTCAATCTTTGACCTATAATTAAATAAAATATATATCGTATATTAATTAGATAAAATAGTATTTTGAAATATTTGATACAATAAATCTATAAAACTATTTTTGTATCAATATCTAATATTATTTTTATTTAATTTGAGATCAAAGTTTACCAATTTTAATCAAAAAAGTCAAAACTAGACAAATACACAGGGATAGAAAGAGTAGAAATTTTCCAAATTGGTACTTTTGCTTACCCTTTCTTAGGGCGGTTTGATTCTCAAAATATGTCTCCAGGAGTTGCCGCCTGCAGCCCAAATGGGCCTTAGCCCAATCCAAATCTCAAACATGGGCCTTAGCCCAATCCAGAGCTCCAACCTCTGTTCTTGAATACTGATACATCCTATTTCATGGCGAGATTTGATTTGAAAACTCCTGGATGATGACGACGAAAATTTTTATTTTTATTTTTTACTTTTTTGATTTGATTTGGTGCACCTGGATGATGACGACGACATTCATTTTTATTTAACTTATTTCTTATATCAATATAAATAAAATAAATCAGTTTTCTTGACACTTTTCATATCCCAGAAATAGTGAGACGAAGGGTGTATATATTTTACTTTTTCATTTGATAAAACGGCTGGGTTCACCTGACATTTACTTTAAATGTCATGGGAAGACCTTTTCAATCTCAGCCCTTGGATCTTATAACTTTTTAAATGAAGGGATCATATTTAATATCACTTTTTTAGCTTTAACTCACCTAAAATTAACGGAGCCCCCTTCTTTTACTCCGTCACTGCTTCTCGCCCATCGTCTCTGTCTCTGGTTCTCGTCCGCCGAATCCACACCTTCTCTGTAATCTCCTCGGCGACCGGCGACGGCTTTGTCCTTGCATCTCTCCCGACGAGGTAAGTTCCCCCACACCCTCTCCTCCGGTTTGACTTTACTTCGAGATGTCCCAATTTTCATTAACCCTAGTTACGAGCTTCATGCCCGGCCATCTCTGGTTCTAATTCAATTCAAGGTTTGACATGATTTGATTTTGATTTTACGAGCTTCACAAAGTTTAATTTATCCAGAAAGATGAGGGAACCATCCAATATTCAATTTGTTCTTGGTTTGAATTTATTTCAATTTTATTTGGTTGAATTTGTTTCTATTTTTGTTCTGTGAAAACCCCAATGTTGAATTTGAATTTGTTCTTGGATTACATTTTTTTGAATTCAAGAAAAAATGTCTAAAGTAGGTTTTACATTGCATTGCAACTTGTAGGACATTGATCACATCCGGATGTAATGGAGTTGATGTGTGTTGATGAAGTAATGCCGTTACAAATGTCTGACATGGGCACTTCCGATCCAATCGTTGGTTTTTGTGAGTCGTTCTCAACGCCAAAAAAAGTTGATGACAACATTCCCAAGGTTGGAATGACTTTTGCAACTATTGAGGAATTCGAGGACTTCTACAGAACTTATAGTTCGTGTAATGGTTTTTATACAAGAATGCGGAGCAGTGTAGGAGATGGATATTTCATGTCATATAGCGACCCTCTCCAAATTCCAGTTTTATTTCGATTGTTATGTATTTCACGTCATATGCGACACTATTTTATGTTTAAAATTGAGAATTTGTTTCAATAGAGACAGTGTTTTATTGTATGTTGACTTGGTGGTATTTTAGATTTGGTGTAATTTTAAGGTTATCATAAACAAATCTTTGGTAATTTTAAGGTTATCATTTGAATTTTGTTGTTGTGATCCAGTGTAGGTTCTGTTTTGCAGTTTGCATATGTTCTGTTGTGATGCAGTGTAGGTTATCGTATGAATAGGTGGTGATTAAAATGTACTCTTTAGGTGCACATTTTTATGCCAAATTGAATCTGGACAGTAGTGGATCCACTTTTATGCCAAATTGGATCACACTTTTGCACCCCATGGTTTACCTGCAGTAGTGGTATTAGTCTTTATGAAGTGGACATTAATGATAACAAGCTTTTCATACAAAAGTGCACTATAAATTGGTTCCTCTTAGAACCAACTCCAACTGGGCATAACCAAAAGACATAAATGTAGAGCATGCAGTTGATATAAATCACAACGAAACGAGGAATAAATCAATGATACAAAAAGTACATAACTCCGTTTAAATCATAACCAACCGTGCGTGCATAGTACGTCCGACGTGCATTTTAGATCCATAGTAACATCTAGTTCATAACTTCGAACATTCACACAAGATTTTGGTACAATAACATTGCTACCAACAAGAGAATACAAATATGCAAAAACACTTCTCGTTTCTTGCATTTGTTGATTCTTGTCTCCAATATTGCATTCTTGGACAGTACCTCTCTTTCACGAACGTTGGCATCTATTACTTCTCTTTGTAAGTTCATGATAAGGCCTTGAAACTCCCCGGCAGTCTCATTGCTACTGATGGTGGTAGTGTCCTTAGTCTCTTCACGTTTGTCATGTAGCCACTTAAAGAACGAACAATCCATACATACTCTCCAGTGGGTAAACTGCGTAATTTTGGGCATGCATAGAATTTGTCTCCAAATGATTGCGCTTGGCGTGACATACGTAGTGTCGTAGTGTGTCCACAATAACAATTAGGTCTTGAGGTTAGTGACTGCGCTTCAGAAGTAACATCATAGCTCATTTTCTTCGCTTCACTTAAAGTGTACATCAAAAAGTAAGATAAAGAACAACAATGAGAACAAACAGGTAGCCAAATGTAAGAACAATGAGAACAAACATGAAAAACTGAAAATTGGGGACAATCGCAAATTAGAAACTCAAATATTTTTATGGGAGGGAGTGAATATTTCATTTTATGCTATGACCTTTTCTTAAAAATCATTGTATTGCAAAAGTTTGAATTCTGACATTTTTAGAGTGCTCTATTTGACACACACACACACACACATCCAATTTAAGAACTCAATTAAGCGAAACTGATTTGAGTCATTTAAGAAAAGCCAAATTAAAGAAAAGATAAAGCCACTGGGGGATTAACGCTACCTCAAGATAAAACCAAAGTAAAGAGAAAGGGAATGTTAATATTCAATTTGTTTTAGATAGCCGCTGGGGGATTAACGTGCATTATAATTGAAATAAATAAAAATTGGATGCTCATAAAATCAAAATTGGATGGTCCCCAATCGAAAAAAATGGAATTTGGATTGAACTTTGGATGGTTCCCTCATCCATAAAATAAAAGCTTTGTGATGCACGTAAAATCAGAATAAAAGCTTTGTGATGCTTGAATTAGAACCAGAGAGGGGGTGGGGAAGTAATTAGGGTTAAAGAAATTTGGGCCATCTCGAAGGAAATTCAAACCGAAGGAGAGGGTGTGGGGAACTTACCTCGTCATGAGAGATGCAATCCCGCCGGGAGAAAGGCGTCGCCGGTCGCCGAAGAGATTGCAGGGAAGGAAAGGAATCGCCGGAAGAGATAGAGACGAGAGATGCAGAGACGGCGTGGGTGGGGGCTCCGTTAATTTTAAGTGAGGTAGATCTAAGTGATGGTTAAATCTCCACCATTATTTTAAAAGGGTATTATATCCAAGGGTTGATATTGAAATTGTCATACCATGACATTTAAACCAAATGTCAGGTGAACCCTGGCGTTGATAAAAATAATATAATAATGTCATTTCTTCTTTTATAAACTTGTGAATTGCTAGAATTTCAGAGGGAAGGTGGTAGAGGAAGATGATACACTCCGGATCTTTAAGGCCCAACCAGACAAGGATTAGATGGTGTACACAACCAAGGTGCACTACCATAAATTTCACCTTCAGATAGGCTTTTGTGGCCTTTATGAGTGTTATCGCCCACCTTCATTGAAAAGGTTATCAGTCCCTCAACAAATTTTATGTTGACATTTCATGAATTTATTTAGTAATAATAACTTAAATATTAATATGAAAATACTTTTAAACATTTTTCAAGTCACTATTGAAAAACATGGTAAAGCTTTGGTACACTTGATACACCTCATTTGTAAATCAGAGTCTCACATCACACATTTCTTTTCCACTCTTCACTCTTCTTATCCATAGCAAGAATTGTGTGGTGGGGTGATTAATGGTGTACAATTGAATTACACTTTTTATGTACCCATATTATTTTTGTGGTGGTACGTAGTGCAGTTGACAATGCAAGGGATTCCAATGAAGTAACACCTAATTTCAATTCCTACCAACTGTGTTATGAGACATCTATATTAAGCATATGGCATATGCAGCTAGCTACTAGGTGCAGACTTTATTCTTTGCTAGACATTCTATGATTAAAGATTTATTTAGCTCATCTCAGGTGACCTACAAGCCTATTCTAAGAGTGCCCATAGAGATGCGGCTTTTCCATTTTTTGAAAAATATTAGAAGGTGCGAAGGAACTGAAAGAGATTTAGAGAAATTGAAGAAATTAGAAAAATTGAAAAAATATGGAAGAAATTGAAAAATACTATAAAAAAAGTAGAAATAGAGGTAGATATCAAAAGTTAGAACCTAAAATATTCGAGCTTTATGTATTTTTTCCTCCATATAAAACACTTAAGGCGTTCAGTTTTTCAACCTCACAAACAATGTTTTATATTTATTTTATTTAAAATGTTTTATAGTTTTTTTTTGTCTTAGTAATGAATATGCACCGCATACTATTTCTTTCATATAAATGTATTCTAACTATACATTTTTCAATTTTTTTTTTAAAATTCTGTACATGTGGAATCAAATAATTTTATGTGATGGAGAGAGTATATTATTTCATAAAATAATTGAAAGATACTAAAACGTCGGTCCGTCCATGGGTTTTGGTATCAGATTCCAAGCCCAACAGATGAGAATGGGCAAAACTCCGAAACGGATCTAGAATCCGAGCCCATAACAGATTATTCGTTTAAAGAAATGGGCAAATGCCCAATAATATTGCCGTTGATTGTACGCCAATTATGACCTCTTTACAACACGTTCGTGGGCCCACACGCTGACATTTAAAACCCCCAATCCCTGCATATTTGCCCCCATTGCTTTCGGTTTACTCTTATCCCTATCGATCACCGCCGCCTCCGCCGTGAGCTCCGCCGGTCGCCCTTATTCCGCCGTCAGGTAACCCGCTCAAATCTGAATCTGGAAGTTAGAGTTTTTTTATGGTGTTTATTGCGTGATGTGCGTAGTAGATCTCGAGAACTGTTGTGTTACTTTTGTTAGGGTTTAGATTTAGAAATCTCGTTGACCGGTAGGTTTTGTCTATCTTTCCAGTTCTTGATTTTGTTCGGTTTTGTTTTCGTTTTCTCTTTTAAAGTGGGAGTTGTCCAAGAAGTACTCTGTAGATCTTTAGTGATTTAGAGTTATGGCATCGAAACGCATACTGAAGGAGCTCAAGGATCTGCAGAAGGACCCGCCGACATCGTGCAGCGCTGGTATGGTTTGAAGTTTTGGTTTACAGTTTTGTCTTTGGATTCATTAGTTAGATGCAAGTGTTTAAAGAAAAAACCATTTGTTTTTTATTGTATCCACTCTTCGGTATCGTGTTTGTTGCAGGTCCTGTTGCGGAGGATATGTTCCACTGGCAGGCAACAATTATGGGGCCGACAGATAGCCCTTACGCCGGAGGCGTGTTCTTGGTTTCAATTCACTTCCCTCCTGATTACCCCTTTAAACCTCCTAAGGTATGCCAGCATGATCTTATACCCTTTTGACTTTACTCTGGTTGTATTGAGGTGTTGAATCATCAGGGATGATAAATGTGCTTTCACTTGGGCTATAGTTAGAACCTGAAGATGGTAGGAAAGGAAATAAAAAAAGTAACAAAAATAAATCTCTTGAGCTTTCGTTTTAACTGGAAAAAACTTGGGAAAATAAAATTTCATTTCAACTTCTTGAATGTTTACTTATTGTATAGATTTCCTCGCCTTTTACTCCCTCCATCCCAATTTGTTATGTTGTTTATTTGCCTGCCCCCATTTATAGTGAATGTTATATATTTTAGAAAGAAATATCAGTTTTATTGTGTTTTTCTCACCTCTCAATCTTTGAATGTATCTCAAGCATACAGTTTTCAAAATTGGTCACAGCATATTTAGAACAGTGAGAGTTTATAATATAAAATTTCAAAAAGAATGACTTGAACTGTTATCTAAACTTGGTTTATTGATTTTTCAAAAATGATTTCCCAGTTTTTCCTTTTGAATTTTCTATCTATTTTCCTTTATACTAGATTTCAAACCTGTGCAATGCACGGCCAAAATTTTACTACATTTTTCAATATTTATATGTTAAGAGTATATTTGGTGAAGAAATGGTGGAGAAATGTTCAAGCAGCACGCGAGGAATAATTTTTCTGAAAATGTAAATACAAATTTATGAAGGCAAATAATAAGTATGAATTCACATACAAACTTGTTTAAAGAAAAGTATCCTTTTTTTCAGAAAAAGATCAAAATTGCAAAAAGGGAGAACAAACAAAAACCAATCTAGAAAAAAGAAAGTGAAGACAAAAAGATCAAAGAAACACCCAAGAAAAATGCACCTTAGTCTGAATAGTTGAGACCCCACAAAATCTACACATCTAAATAACATTGATTATTAAGCTAGCTACATTCTGCCTTCAATATCAAAATCTTTCCCTAGCACATCTCAAGTTCTGAAAGGACCATTAGAGTTGTGTTGATATGATTTCACCTGATTGCTGGATGCACTAACTCTGTCTTTACACCAATAAAAATAAGTCATTGCTTAAATTTTGTTCATCCCTCTTGGCTTGATAGTGTTACTTTC